GGGCCTTAGACAAATCGGCGTGAAGGGGATGAAAAGGGTCATAAAAATCCTTGCTGAACAGTCAACACATGCAAGAAATTGCTTAAGAACGATGAAGTCAATCAGTGACTCTCTGGACAATGAAACGCACTATCAATGTGCATTTTTTTGTAAAAGACCAGATGATCGATATAGCCAGTGATGGAGGATGCAGGCAGAGGAGGAGGAGGATACAGTGCAAACCGAGTGTTCGTGATCGTCAGGCCGTGAGTGGCACACAGTGAGAGCAGCCTGTCACCGTTCGCATTCGCTGAACCAATGCCATGCGAACCGATAACATATGCCCACAACGATGCAACATGCCCAACGCGCGTTGAAATCACCAAGCAGAAATAGTCGGTCACTCCTCGGCTCAGATTGTATCACGGATGATAGCTGAGTGTAGAATTGATCACGCGTGTCATCAGGACAACACACGTTCTTATAAAAGTAGCAAACTTACCTCTTCCGAGTCGTAGGCGAACAGTCATCAATTGCGCGCTGATGCCAGTTGTGTCACCCATCACTTGGGCGATCAGGTATTGCAAATCCGACCCCACGTTCACATGGTGCTGAGGTGACGTTTCCCCCCTAGTGGAATGTATTGCCAGCTCCAGCTTTATGCAGCTTACCCTGCTTAGCGAGCCGAATCTCATTGAGCGCCGCAATATCGATGTTGTAGCGCGCCAGTTCCATCGCGACGAGTGCAGTGCGTCGCTCGGGACGCTCACTCGTATTCCGGTCGAGCAATTTGTGTACGTTCCAGCACCCAATGTTGAGTGCTCTACGCGGAGGCATACGATTGCATTGGCGGACAACTGGATGGGAGGTGATGTCCTGGATTGGCGGACGTAGTGGGATAGGTGAATCTTGGACGGGGGGCGTATGTGCAGGGGAAGGAGGAAGATGAGAGGCGCCAGCAGTAGCATGTTCTCGGTTATCCACCCCACTTGATGTAGCAGATAAGGCGACCCTTTTTTAAGGCCATTGCATGGGTGGGCGGGCGTCGAGCCCGTAGTGGGATGAAGCTTGTGGTGGCGAGATCCTGTGAGATCGTCGACCCGCTACTGCTAATGTTGTGCTGTGGGCTCATATCCTGGATGCATCGTGGCGACTGCTGGGTGGGAGTTGGGTTACACCTCCCGCATAGCGTGAGTCGGTTCATTAACTCATGGCACACGGCCCGCTGCCTTTCGGGTGTATCCTTTATTGAATGTTTTAGCTGAGGAACCGAGTCGTTATCCTGTCAGGTGTGGGCGCCCTGGCAGTATGCTAGTCCACCTCCAAGGTACTTTACAGTGGACGAACTGCGTATGTTGTGATCGCTTACGACCATGGGGCGACAACTCTTACGTTTGTCAGTGCAGAGAAAAGAGAAAGTTACATCGCAGTATTTAGAAGCGTTGAGAATAAGAGATCGGGACGATAACCATTTGTCAAGCTCGTCCAATCCACTTTGGAGAGGCGTTATTGATTCAGCAGTTGGAACAATACTTCTTATGACTAAGTCGTCAACATTCCGATGTTTAGAGAGAATAGAAGACGGAGAAGGATTTCTTCTTGTAAGACGCCCAAGTCATCACTAAGAGAGTGGGGATTTTTTAACCGTTTGACTGGGTGAAATGTGCTCGGTTTATGAAGTGGTTGTTCATCAGTTTGCACTCTGCTGGCTGAACACCATTCACAGACGGCCGGTTAAACGGGATTGGTGTGTCGACACTTATAAAAGTGTTAGTATAAACAAGGAAGAGGAGTCACACATTCTTGCGTTTCGCATCCAATGAAAATGATATTGACTGAACAAGGTATGCTGCGGCGTCCAAGATGGAACGTCTGAGTCTGTACGCAAACTGAGATATTTCCACAGCCGGAGTGCTTGTTGTGATCCAAGACACAAGTAGTCGCTCGAAGACTTTTAGCATAACGGATGTACAGGAAATCGAACGGAAATTCGTACATCACTTCTTTGGCACGGGCGTTATTCTGGCAGGCCTCCAAATGTCGGTGATAATCCCATATAGGTGATGACACCCTTTCCACATTTTTGAGGCGTTCCGGGGCGGTCGGATCTGATAGGAAGATACGTAAGTTGAATAGAATTGTCTTCTGCATCAGCATGTAACCAACTTTCTTGAAGTATCAAAATGGCTGCATTTTCTTAACATTTCGAGTGCTCTTATCAGTCGCTACGCAATACAGGCAGAACAAAACACACAATAAACTGGGTCCACAATCAGTAACATAGATAAGCAGATAAAACTGATGACAATGACGTAATCAGGTCCAAGACAATCTAATTGATTGCCTCAATTGTTTCTGGGCACAGAGCATGAGACAATTCAACCTTGTCAGTAGCGCCTCGCCAATTGCCAACAACGTCGGGTTCCTTTTGCGCGGTAACACCTTGAATGAGTCGATTGGATTCACCTGGTGACGAGTCGTCATGAGGTGATTGGTGACAGACGAGGCAGGGTTCCGGTTCATTCTTTGATCCGCTCCGCCTTGGTTAAACAGCAACTGCCTTAGCCACAATGGGAAGTGTTCCGCCATCTTTTGAGCCAGCCGGCGACCAGTCTTGCCTATGTAAGTGTCACCGCAACTGCAAGTGAACTGGTAGATGATGTTAGAGGCCGAACTGATTGGCGAGCTACTCGGACGGCTCTGGAGAGGAATCCTTCGTGTAGTGTGGATAAGTCGTAGTAGTGGGTGCGTATTACAGTGGGCCAAATACATCTGCCACGTGATCCCCCTTGAACGGTAAGAACAAATAAACATCTTTCTTCTCCGCTGTTTGTACTGGTAGTCGCATACAAGCGCGGCGTCGTAAAAACTCTTCTACAGGGCCAGGCGGATTTGCAGTCCGGAATTGCTCAAGGCTGAAGAATAGTTTTTATACCGAATTTTGCTAGCCAATGATTATCCGGAGAAATTCATTCAGACCCATAGCAGACCCCCCCAAGGAGAAACTGCCAGTACACACAGCAGAGAAGGAGGATGTTTATTTGTTCTTACCGTTCAAGGGGGATCACGTGGCAGATGTATTTGGCCCACTGTAATACGCACCCACTACTACGACTTATCCACACTACACGAAGGATTCCTCTCCAGAGCCGTCCGAGTAGCTCGCCAATCAGTTCGGCCTCTAACATCATCAACCAGTTCACTTGCAGTTGCGGTGACACTTACATAGGCAAGACTGGTCGCCGGCTGGCTCAAAAGATGGCGGAACACTTCCCATTGTGGCTAAGGCAGTTGCTGTTTAACCAAGGCGGAGCGGATCAAAGAATGAACCGGAACCCTGCCTCGTCTATCACCAACAACCTCATGACGACTCGTCACCAGGTGAACCCAATTGATTCATTCAAGGTGTTACCGCGCAAAAGGAATCCGACGTTGTTGGCAATTGGCGAGGCGCTACTGACAAGGTTGAATTGTCTCATGCTCTGTGCCCAGAAACAATTGAGGCAATCAATTAGATTGTCTTGGACCTGATTACGTCATTGTCATCAGTTTTATCTGCTTATCTATGTTACTGATTGTGGACCCTGTTTATTGTGTGTTTTGTTCTGCCTGTATTGCGTAGCGACTGACGAGAGCAATCGAAATGTTAACATATCGCAACCTATGTCTTTTTACTGTTTGTTTCCTGTATAAAAGTGGTAAGATCCGCCATTTTCCAATGGTGATCTTACATTCGTTCCCACATCGTTGGTTCTTGACTGTTTCGCCGGAAAGGCTCAATTCGTATCCCTTCCTCTTGACTTGCTTTTACCATTATTGCTATTTCGATTACGCGAGTCAATGATTTTGGGTTTACCGCACGGCTGGTTTGCCGAACAACCTCGCGGTGCCAGATGGGTGGTTCGGGGTCGCCCCGTTCCAGCGAGTGGTCCGGCTACATTGTTCCAGGACGCGGCATGTTTTCGTCTGACAAAGTTTCTTACTATAAAATGCCACATATCTGGTTAACAACACTGTGACTTGGCAGAAAGCATCAGCAGTACGCCGGCACACCTTACCGACGCTTCTCTCTCACGTGACCACCACTAGTGGCGAATGGATTGGGTATACCGCCAGGACGACCGAACCGGTGACCTCCGAATTACAAGGCAAGTGCGTGATCCTTTCTGCCATCAGCCGACGTAGCAGATGTGACTCGCCATTAAATAAAGTCACTGCCCCTTGCCTCACTCTGATGGAACATTGTATTCTAGCAGCCTGTTGCTGAAATTGTGGGGAGGACCAGGCCTCTGTTTGGCAGGTAACCAAACGAAAAACGTATGAACTTAACAATCGGTCACAGGCTCCCTGACTTCGCTCCACTGCCTTGCGGGCAGGCTATTTAGCGAATGGCTCGGGGTGGTGTCCCTACGTCAGCGGCTTATTTCTGCTCAGCTAACCGGGCAGTGTAGGAACCATAGATTAGTATGTGTTGTGTTCGGCCTTCTTTTTACGATAACTATCTCCCATGGCTTTTGATGGCTGCATATCTAGCCGTCGATTGTTTAAAAGGATCATAATTGATGTAACTCTTGGTGCTTATCCACACAGCATATTAGAAATCCCATCATTAAGCTCTTTTGTCAACAGGCTGCTTGCGGCCCGTTTACTTTAACTTGCTCCATATGTGACCACTTTACTATACTATCTAACGCCGGAATCTTACCTTGTTTTCGGCAGCCCATCGGTGTACAAATAGCATCTTACGGATATTGTGACTTTTTGTCGCAGTTCGTTGCCTTTTCACCCGCTAAGACTCACTCTATTAGATGAAGGCTCATCAGTTACAGTTGTAGAATCATAATAATTCAATGGATCTCTGTCGGTATGAAACCGCCACAGTTGATCATTGTTGGTTTTGGGCATACTTTATCTTTGTTTCGGGATAATTATTCATTTTGCTTCGCCATTATACATCTAATCAGTCCGGTAGATATGTTTTAATAAAATTAGTAAATATTCCTGCCCACATCTCCACACAGATCGTTAGAGGGTCGTTATCGCATTCAGGTGGCTTACCTACTAGATACTGTGGATGTTTTCAATGTGGTGAGTCGCGATCGTCGCTTTTCATCAGAGAGTACTTTCAAAATCTCTTCCGGCGCTGTGGTACATCTGTTCCAAGCTGACTCAATCGCAACCAAAGTAAGCTTATGTTTACGTCACATGGACCGCGGACTCAGTCCCTCCGTGGCTCATTCTGGTCAAAAAGTTTTTATCTTTGCAACTGCAGCAACTGTGGGTACGCGTGTTGGAAGAAACCAAGCGGTCCCATAAGATTTCCAAACCATCACCGGACGTCGACCAGTCTGATTATGGTTCACTTGGGTTCGATGATGCACATTTCGCCCACAGTACATTTTCCAGGATATCTGAGCGTTCCACAACAAATATTGCTGGTAAACTGCCTCCGTATGCCCTATCGCCTTCAGGCGTCCCGGGTGAGTCATTTCGGGATGCTGTCAAGGCTTTGCGAGCCACCCTCCCGGAGTGTGTCGATCTGCTATCTCCGCTCTCAGAGACCCCGAGTCCTACACCATCTCGAAGGAATCCATTTGGGGATTATTCCGGTGAGTCGTTGTGCGTCGGCGGGTCTTTCTCCACATTTTCACTTCGGCAGAATTCAACCTGTTACTGCCTCTTGTATCACCAGCATCTGGGTGTTGCGCAACCAGCCCTACTCACAGGTTGTTATGCGTTTTCCTACATGTGACACCGTTTTTGTTCTTAATTGGCTCTACCCAAGTGTCGGTTTTTCCACACAATGGAAACATTGCACAACCACCACAGTCAACCTTGTGCTTGAATCTGTTGCAGTTTATTGTTGACCGTCGTTTTCGAACGTCTGCCAGGCTTTCGCAGCCATTCAGCTTCCGTAACTGACGTCGACAACCGCACTCAGTTGACGACAAGTTAATTGCGAGTAGTCATACCAGCATGTTTGTACTTCTCCGCTAGTCTCAGTACACAGTACCACATGGTAGACTCGATAAAACTGCAAATCTGTTGGTTCACAGCTGGCAGGTGTAAGGTGATCTGAACACACCAGCACATACTTCCGGGGACGCGATCTTGATATCTCATATCCTGGAGGTCGCTAACCGAAACTAAGGCAGCACTTTAGTCTCATTGTATGCTATCGAAATCACTTTTCGTTGTCAGTCTCCTGGTAAGTTAAATAAATAAATAAATTGTATATTCTCGATAGAAAGAGGCACACCTCCACATTAAATTTTTTCAATAAAGCGGCTGACTTTCACAATTTGTTTACCGCATTTCTTCGCATAAACTGTAGTTTGAACTATCTCTGTGAAATACCGGTAAATCAATCAACAACAGCAGTACATCAGCCATTTGAACTGATGCTTCGCTGCCATACAACCAATGAGGACCTATGAAATAAAGAATAAGAAGAGGAAGAGAAGGGGGACTTACCTGAAAACCTTAATGCCCTAAGCAAACATTCCGGGTCAAGGCGCCTACACCTTGTGTAGACAACATACCGTCACAAACAGCTGGCTATCGTGCAAAGATAAGGCGGCATCGGCGAGACAGCTTCCTTGCGGCTTTCACTGCCCCGCGTCATAATCAGTCATTGTCCTGCAGATAACTCAGCACCAAACACACTTCAGACAGGCAATCCGATTAGGGGACGGCAGCAGACGCGCCACTGGTGTCGGTTCCGAATCATGTCCTGTAAAGTCTCGAGCCAAGCACAAGGCGAGTCACGTGGACTCTCACCTGGAAAGCGAGATGGACCAACGGCACCCAGTTTGGTTGTCAGTGACTTCATTTCCCTCTGCCAAGTCAACATCTGTCCACCTCGAGCCTTGCGCCACCCTACACCTAGTAGACTAAACAAGGCGCTCCTAGGTAAGCGGTGACCAGGCATACGTAGCACGTGCCCGAGCCAACGCAATTTATTCACTGCTATCTGTTGTTCTAGGAAGCTAGCATGATTATCACTACCTAGTACTCACCTACGCACATCATCGTTGCGGACACGCTAGTGCCATCCGACACCAGCAAGGCTTCGTAGACAATGATGATCAAATATTTGAAGGTGCCTCAGATCTTCAGACCGAATGGGCCAAGTCTCACTCCCATAGAGCAGAACGGTCCTCACTGTGCCCTTGTATACACAGCTTTTCACACGGAGGTAAACTCCTTTCTGTCGCCGAAGATGCCGCAGGTTCAAGAAGGCAGCTCTGGCGTTTGCAATGCGTGAGCTGACGTCAGTTGCTATGCGCCCACTGTTGTTGATGCAGCTGCCAATATAAATGAATTGATCAACCATCTCGACTTCCTCGTTAGCAAGGAGTCATCAAGTGTCTGGTGGTCCTGCAGCAACACTTTACATTTTAAAGGCGCAAAGTGCATACCAAATAATGGGACCACACTAGACAGACTATTCAGGTTTGATTGTGCCGCGGCTACATCTTCGAAAAGTAAGACGATATCGTCCGCATAATCAAGATCAACTGATCTTTCACCAGGCAGCACTTCAACGCTTACATCGTGAGATTCCGCAAGGGAACACTCCATGATAGAATCCACGATGAAATTGAACAAAATGGGGAAATCGGACAACCCCGATAAACGCCCCACTTGTGGTTGGAAAACTATCAGACAGGCCACCGTAGAGCCTGACGCAGCCTGTAGTGTTCGAGTATGGAGCACGAAGGATGTTCACATATTTCGTGGGAACACCTTTCCGCGCAAGTATTTCGAACAGAATCGATCGATCGACTGAATCGAACGCACTCTTGAAATTTAGTAACGCAGCTATTGTCAATCTGCGGTATGCGTGACGCTGCTCTAGCACCTGCTGCAAAGTGAATATATGGTCTACTTAATACGGTCTGATTTTTCCTCAACCGAGATTCCCGTTCCGCAGTGAGGCGACGAACGATAATCGAGACCAATAATTTTGTCAAAATTGGCGTTAGGCTAATACGCCTGTGGTTAGAACAGTCTGTGCGACTGTCCTTCTTGTGTATTGCCGCTATAATCGATTCGCTCCAATTAACCGGGACATTCCCCTCCTTCCAGATACGTTAGAATAAGGAGGTCAGTGCTTTGCAGAGGACCTCACCTCCATCCTTAAATAGTGCAGGTGGTAGGGAATCCGGGCCAGCGGCAAGAAAATGATGGAAAGCTGTGATCGCGTCTCGAACCTCGGCCTCCGTCGGAGGCTCTAAACTAACCGTCCATGGCTCATTCTGCATCACCTGAGTAGGAAGAGGTCCGGGAGCAGGGAACCAGCTGAACTGATCTTGAAGGTGTCCCGCCCAACGAGCCATACGGCGCACCTTATTGTGTATCAATGCGCCCGCGCTGTCTCTGATTCACTGACACCTGGTTTTCTGGGACCAGTGATGCGGATCAGCTGGAAGGGCTTGCGGTAATCGCCTACTGCTCCTGCCTCCTCCATTTCTTGCGCCCAGCTGGTCCACCAGGCTTTCTTGTCAGTACGTAGGCTTCGCTTTAGTCCGCACCTAATAGCTCGTCTGGTCACATTGTGCTTAGAGCCAACTGGGAGGTTTCTTCTGGATTCCAACAGGTTCACCGACCTCTTGGATATCCAGTGACTGGTGCGGTGACGATTGATAGTGCCACAAGCAGATGCTCCTGCGTCGTGCATGGCGACCGAGATACTATTCCACTGAAGCTCAGTGTTATTAGAACAAAACAGCTAAAGTTCGGTATGCAGTGCTTCTTGATAGGCTTGCCTGAGTGAGAGCTGATACAATTTCTCAGTTGCCAACCGGATGAGACGCCTGGTGCGCCTCCCGGTAAAGTTCATGGAGCAACGACAGCGTACCAAAGCATGATCGGAGTGGACGCAGGTAATCCAGTACGAGCGGCAATCCAGGATGGAACCACGCCACCTGTAACTTATGGCTATGTGGTCAATTTGGGTCCATCGTTGGCCGGCTGCAGGATGACGCCAACTGGCGCCCACTGTGTCTAAAAGCAGTGTTACTAAGAAACAGCTGGTGCTCCTCACACAGTTGCAGCAGACGCTCGCCGTTGTCAGTCCGTTCGGAGTTAGGCCCATAATTACCACCCAGCTGAGCTTCTGAAGAGCTCAGATGTCCTACTTGTGCGTTCATATCTCTTGCAAGTACTATAATATCTGAACTAGTAGCACTGCGTAGTAGCGTGTTCAGTTCGTGGTAGAAAGTGTCCTTGACAGCATTAGAACTGCAGTCGGTGGAAGCATAAGCGGAAATCACAAACAAACAGCGTTTCCTACTACTTCGTGAATCAACCTTAGCTGATGTCAAACGGGCTGCACATAAACGGCTGTTCACCGGAATCCAATCAACCAACAATGGTTCAGCCTTGGAGCTTAGAATGATACCTACACCAGCTTGATCTGTAAGTGCTGCATCGGCGTCTCCGGATGCGTGCAACCAATAGCGAGAGGATAAGCCGGGTGCAGTTAATTCAACAGCCCCATTAGGGCCATTGATCCTAGTTTTGGACACACAACACATCAATACCCAGTGTGTCCAAGGTGCGTGCGAGTGCAGCCTGTTGACCTATTTGTCTTAGAGCGCGAAGCTTGAACATCGCCATGGAAACGGGGCAGCGTGGCCTTATAAGGGGCTGTTGCCGATAGGCGTCCGGTGCGTGTCGCGAGAAGGTGGCGGTGGATGGTTCTACTCCAGTGGCACTTCGGTTGCTATCAATTAAGCTGGGAATTAGAGAAGGAAGGTTAGTAATGGGGGTCGGGGAGTAAGTGAAACAGGTGGAAAAGAAAGGAAGCGCTAGCAGTAGGATGTTTTCGCTTATCCGCCCTGCTGTATGCAGCAGCTAATGCGACCCTTGATAATCTGTGCGACGGCGAATGCAGGATGAAAATTTATGTTTAAAGAAAAAGTCATGGTTGTATGTAGGCTGAGATACTGCCAGGGCGCCGAGACCTAGCCAGGAGGACGATTAATGTCCTCATCCAAAGCCTTTGGCTCAAAAGCCTGTCCGCAAGTCAGCTGGGAGGTAACAATGATTTAGTTTTAAAGAAATGAACGCCATCCCATTTCAAACCCCCAACGTGAAGCGCCAGGAGTTTGTCTAACCTCACACCATTGACCAACCTGGTAGGAGTAACTCTCAAGGGGCACGGACGCACCACCCAGTATAGCTCAATGGGTCAATGAGGTACGCAAACCGTCGCAGCACGTTAAGGTGCAGTCTTGTTGCGACGGTGAAATACCGGTACATTCATCGGACTATAGGAAAGCATTAGGATCGACGAAACGTTTACCGCATTCCGAATGTTATGTAAAGCGATCAGTATAACATGCTTGCCATCTTTCGTACGATACTTTTACAGCCTTCGACCTAACCATCCATCAGATCACGCAAAGCAGTCCTCTCTTGTTTATATGTTCACCGGTTACTAAACAAAACATGTCGCTTGGGAATCTTGTATTATTTTTACCCTGCGGCGGTGTTTTTACCTTTAGAACTTGTCAATGACTCAGCGTAACTGATTTCTGAATATGGTCTAACACCAACAGATTTCCACGGTTAACTACCATAACTATCAAACGACGTGACTCGCCTCGACAGAGAGCAATGTAAATTTAGTTGAACCGGCTTGGTTGACTGCTTGAACCACTGCACATGAAACACCCCCGTTTATCGTGTCGAATGTGTCATGAAGCTAAGTTGTCGGAAACGAGTAGGAGTCAGAAATTGGTGTGGATCTTAGTCTTACACTAATCGAAAAATTGCATACCGACACTCCACACACGTCGCATCGTTTGTCACCAACAATCGACCACTGTAGGCTTTTATAATTATGCGCTTTCGCATATCAAACATCATCTGCACACTAAACATCTAACTTTATTCGAAAAACTAACACCACATGCCAGTTCACACAGGCATGTGCTTTCGAAAGTTCGGAGTTTCCACATTTGGTGCGAACGGACTATCTGGGCTTTGGGGACACGAACTGTGACGCCTGTCAATGTTGACAAACATCCGTTCAAGTTCGTTGTTTCAATCTTTGATATTATCATCTTATCCTAGACACTCGAACCAACTCCTGAGTGACCAGAAGGATGATCAGTTCGACTCAACGTGTCAGTTTCTTTTTCTGCACCTACTTATTATGGTTATCCAATCATTTGAACATTCGGAGCATCCGGCCAGAGAGGACGATTTGCGAATGTTCACTTCATACGGTGAATGAAGATCGGTCTTTCAAATGAATTCGAGGATATTGTCGTTACACCAGTTGAGACGGTATTCGGAAGTATGTCGTAGTTTGGAACGCAATGGGTTTGGCTTCTAGCAGTATTGCTTGCAGGTTGATTCCACCATATTTTTCTTTTCTCTTTGACCTAACTGCTTATCGCGTTTAACATTGTGAATGTCCAAATCGCATTTACCTCACTCCGGTTATTACGTCCTTACTGGGACGCAGCTTCTGGACGTGCTTTCATTCACTTGAACGCCTTTGTGAAATGATCTCATTGGAAACTGCCACAATTCTGTTTTATAGATCTCCACCCATGATATCCAAGCACTTGTTGGAAGTCGTCTCTAGCACTCTTCTACTTCCTAGGAACTCATAGTATGTGCTCTTTATCGTCAGTTGTATTATTCCAAAACCACAATGAAACAGTCAATATACACCAGCTAGAATGCACGTTGATCGAGACCGCAAAGCTAAGACCTCGTGTTAAGTAAAAGGATTGCTACTGAGCTTATATGTACATTGCAGTCATTGTGCTCACACAATGAAAATTCAATCGATTTCCTCATTGTCCCGTTTGTCAGCATGAGTTACATTTGGGATACTATCTACTCACATGTTACCATCGACCGGAAGTTGTACTTTGCTGTGATAAGGGTGCATATGTTGCGGTGTAAGTTCCCACCTGTTGGTCCGGCGATGATATCTGTCAGAATTGTCCTACACATTGTTTGCTGTGGACGCGGGCACAGCGAAACTTGCGAACTTTTCTGGGCACGAATGGGTTCGAAGAACATCGGCCCCGTCTAGTTGCTGAAAAGGAACCACTACCATCTTTGGCAGTTATCGTAATCTCTTCGGACTGATACGAGAAACAGCAAGTGATAAAGATTTGGAAACTTCGGTGAAAAGAATGCACACTCGACGCCGAACTTGCCAAACTGCCTGTGTGAGTGTAATGTAATTGTACGAGAGGCTCTTGTTCCAAACATTCCGAAACACGCAATGAGAACGTGTACATCAAAGTATTGCAAGAATAGTTAATCCATTCACTTGACGAGCCGTATTGAGCGCGCAGTTCTCACTGCATGTCATCAGCTGAACGAACAAATGATTGTAATGAAGGTAATTAGCACAGTTCACTGGATGTTCGGTGCAATATACACAATAAATCGCATTCACACAAACGTCTTCAAGGTTGAAGTGTTAGACTAGGCAGCTCGATTGTTATTATTTTCTCTTTCAGCTGATGAGCAATATACTCCGGCGGATCTGCCTGAGAGTACACATTGGCCGGCCGCTGAAACTTGTGGTTTCGAAAAGGAGACTAACTTGCAGTTTGAAGTTGTCTGCACATTACGGGATCAAATTCATTTCACCATCTCGTATGATGATGCTGTTCGCATGTTCACACTAGGACACATTCTCGGGTGCGCGTACATGCATCTCCGGCTGGAGTATCACCTCACATGGCCACTGGAGAAGCAAAGCGGACGGATTAATTTTTCTGAAGTCTGTCCCGCATCCATTCAGGAATTGCCAAACTGGGTGACGGCGTGAACTTCGCTCATGCGGGGATAACACAGCACGATGGCAAAACTGCGTTGAGGGACCACTCATTCTCCCTACCAATGGACAACTGTCCTTATTATCCTAGTTCTGTCATGTAGGGCGAATATTACACTTACGGTGATGAGGTTACCCAACAGGTTATTGTGGAGCTCGTAAAAGGCTGGGTAGTGCTTCATAGTCTTGTTCACAGAGGGGAGATATAAGCATATATACCCACATCAAAAATGTACGACGCTGCAGCTTCTCGTTAAGTTGTTAATAATGTTATTGCGGTTATTAGTCTCAGAATATGAACACACAGATATTGGTTCAGTCACAACATTTTTAATCGCACTGACACACCTTTACCAATGGGAGACAATTTTATTTTTCGTAGATGATGGGTGAGGGAAATTCTTGTAACCCAGTTCGTTCAGCCTCTGGAGGTTTGGTTGTGCTATGCCTGTTGAGTGTTATCATGATGAAGAATCGGCACTTTTCCGTTGATCAGTGCCGGGCACCTGTGTTGAAGTTTTTGGTGCCTTCCGGCAATTTGTTGGCAATACACCTTCGCTGTCATAGTTTCGCCTGGATTCAGAAAGCCGTGATGTATCAGACCACCAAACAGCCACCATAACATTTTGGGTGCAAATTCGGTTTTGAGAAGTGTTGTGGAGGAGCTTCATCGTGATCCAACCACCGAGAAGTGCGTCGTCGATTGTCCTAAAGGACCAGGTCAAGAAACGGGTCGTTTTCATGGCGCAGAGCAAGGATAGACGATATTTTAAAACGAGGACTTCTCTGATTTTCCTTCAATTCATGCGGCACTCACTTATAAAGCTTTTTCGACATTGCAATCTCCCGTATGCGTTTGAAAACTTTCACATGCGATACTGCTAAGTCAGAAGAAGATCCCTAACAGTTTTATGCGGATCCGCTTCAACTAAGAATTCTAATTGTTAGTCGTTTATTAGTGGGTTTTGGAGTACCCACCGTGTGTCTGGATTACGACACACAATCTCGATTGAGTCTGCAGTTTGATTTGGAGCAAAGATATCTCATTTCGATCACTGGGACCGTATCCGAAGTGGAGAGTTTCGGAGTTGCTTTCTCTCAACGTTGAACTCCACGACCGATAACTGTTAATAACCTAGCGACTGCGTTGGTAGCAAACACGATTGCTACACGCGTTGTGCTCGTTAACATGCTGTCCTTCTCTCAGGCGCATATGAAGCATGAAGATTTCAGTAAGTGACTACTCTTATCTGACTTTTGAATGGGTTCTGTTAAACACGAACTTCTTACATCAGGTGACGCGCATTCATCGCATAATTTCGCATCGCCCCTCATTGGCATTTATGTATAATTAATTCCGAGTCTTGTAAGTTAAGGTTCCAGCTGGATAACTCAACTGATATTGAAGAATTTGGTCGAGATACCTGGTTGAGCTGGCGCATACTCCATGACCAGCCTCACCAATAGCGTGATGAGGAAGTCAGTGGCGTCCTTACAGTCAGCTCTCCTTTTCTCTTACTCTCCCATCCAACGATCGTCCCGCTTTCTCCGTGGTGCTTTCCGTTTGTTTCTCTTGTTCATTTTAGATAATAAATAATAATGTGTCAGGTGTACGCCGTAACGACGCTTCGCTGTCGTGCGACCATCACCAGTCGCACGCGGGCTGAGTGTGCCGCGAGAACGCCCACCACTACACGGATAGGAACCAGCGCCGCAAGGTTACGAGACAAGCTTGTTACCTCTAGGCTATCGGGTTCACTGCACTTTCTCATCTGATTAACTGGAATTGATTGGACTGCAAATCCCCTATGCCCATTTTGTTGGGGTGCGGTTGCCAATATAAGTAACTAAATCTGTACTACCTAAAGCAGCAACAAATGCGTTATCATTGCCTGATATTTGTAGTTATCTGTTGTTGTTTTGCGTATATTGTACACGCTATTGAAGAGCTCTCTTTACACTGACTTTCGTTCAAGATGCCAGAGCATCTCAGAGGGATTCGTACAAGTCGTCAGCATCCGGACCAAGTCAATTCGCCGTGTCCTGGTTGTGGGACGCACCCGAAGACTTGGATGTGGCTATCTCAGAACGGGACTTCTCTCGCGCCACCGAATTAGTATGTAAAACTCGCCAGAAGCTGGATCGAATTTTGTCTGTACTACAAACCAGTGAGGGCGGTGCTGGAGGCGACTCAGCAATCGCTTCCAGTCGAAGCGACCTGGGCTCGGAAACAGCGGACGAGTGGCTTGCTATTAAACCCCTTGCCGAGTGGCTCAATTTGTCCAAACGCATCTCAAGAAGCGAGGAGAGTCTTGTAGATGCTTTGCAAAAAGAATTACTCGCAGCCGCTGATAGACATGGTGCGTTTTCTGCATTTCTCACTTCACAAACGCTCGCACATCTATTTGGCCTATTTAACCAGTTGGTTCCGGCTGTTAGAATCAATGTGTTTAATCTCTACACTTGTCCTTTTACTCTGCGTACTTTTACTCCCCTTTGGAGTGGAACTTCGAACATACGGAAAAATTGGGCCCAAGTCCTCTTCGCTTTCCCACTTGCCCCACTGCGACAGCAGTATTCAATAACTTTTATACTGCTAAAAAACCTCTCCCACTGCGTTATCGTCTGCACATCGTCATTCGCCGCTTTGTTCGTAACATTTGCAACGGAGTTCAGATCGCCACACTCTGTTGTGGCCACGGTTCATATTAGTCATAATGGAGCCCGTTTCTATAACCAAATGTGCACCTATATTAAACGGTGACATTTCGGTAGTGCTCCACCTGGCACTTAGTTCCACTTTCATCCCCACATTTCTTTACCCTGTTTTAGTGGATTTAATCTGCTGGGGTTTAAACCAGCAACATTACCGTTGCCCACCCAGCCCCTTGTCACCATAATGATGCAGCTTCACTAGGCTCTCCAGCCTCAAGAATTACATCACTTTCGTAAGCCTAATGCTTTAATGCCGTTGCAACAAAACTAGGCTTTATAATAGTTTATGTTCCATATGATCCATTCATCTACGTCGGATGGCACTTCCCGGTCGTCTTCAGAGCTAATGATTCTAGCTGTCTTGTAAACTCGGTCCAAGCATATTACTCACAGGGAAAAGGTAGACAGTCCTGTTCCGCCAGTACTGAACTACAGTTGACCGGTTATTAGGTAAGGTCTGTTTGCCTAAAGCATGAACACTACAAATTGACTCTCACTGGGGAAGTCATAGCCGTTACTCAACTGTTTCCTACTACCAACAACTATAGCCTGACCAGCAAGGGCTGAAATCACTAAATCATGACGCAGGTCTGTCCTCTGCTGCTGCCAACAACCAATTTATCAAGGTTACATACGACCGACTGGAAGCAGCTCCTCGCCTGACTTTGTTGCTACATCCTCGAGCCGGACGTGCCTCCCACTGTTTTGCGTGCTATTTCTGTTTATATAGTGAGAAGTACGAACGCACGAACTAGTGTCCTCCTTCGATGTGAGCAATCGGAAAGTATCGTCGGTACACAAAGGTCCATCACTTGTTCTGTTTCATTTCGTTCCCTGTTTTTCCGTATTCCTGTCCATTTTACCCAACGCAACTGACGAGAGGCTGTTCTCGGGTTCATATTACGAGTTATCGCTGTATCTAGACCCTTTTTAGACTAATTGATCCCTGTAATTTGGGGTCATTTGACATCTGCACCCTGTGTCCCATCTATCGAAGAACATTTATTCCACCCTTCCTTGTATCGTGTTAGATACGTAGCACCTCAGGAACACGTATACAGATGCCGATTCGCTTCTTGCTGACATTAGGCTTTCATACATGCCACCTTCGTTGGACAAACAGGTAATGGTTACTGACCTCGACTGTCCGTAAAGAACGAAGCGTAAGTACTTTTGCTAGGCTTTATCACATGACGCAAGCCTGAAGAACATGTTTTATCTTGGAGTGAAGTCAACTGATATTACAATCCTATCAACAACCGCTAACCAGTAGAATGGTACTTGGTATTCAAAGCACACGACCGTTTGCATCGCAGTATACCGATGCATTTTCGCTCATGTAGCTTACGATTTGATTGCCCTGTGTTTGGAAGCATTTGCCATTTTGATTTATCTATTTCCCCTATGTGACGAGTCATTTGACTATGTTCCCTCCCATTCATTTTACACTTTTGGGGTAGGTGGTCCGCGCTCTATCCGCACCGCTGTTGCTAATCTGGGATTGCTGGGCAAATGGACGCTGGCTTCCCAGTTGTTTCTTTTGTACAGGTCAAGTGTGATCGCCCGGACGGTCACCCACGGAGTCCGTCAGGAGGGAAGTCAGTTGGTCTATATGAACCGATTTTCTTTCGCATTTCATCGAGCGTTAGCTGAAACAGCTGCTGAGTGGAAGAAGAATGTCGTCGAGCCGCTCCTACAGGTGATGGATGGGGAGGCCTCGGGTCGAAGTAAGCAGGAGAAACAGGACCGAAAGACTTTCGAGCGTCTCCTTTCACTCAGTAAGTCAATCACTGCTTTTAATCCATTCTGATCTGATAGTACCATCACTGCACCCCGCATCGATTGCTCAACCTTTCCCATATTGCATTGAGCTAGTTTGGCGTACTGCCTTCATCGGTCTTCATCTTGCTTCCTTTGGTTTTATCTGATGGCAGAGACAACACAATCGTGCTTTATAGATGAAACTTCGTCCGTGTTCGCAACTAAGATGCGCAGTTGCGCTGGTTACAGGAACAGCGCTTTCACGCATCTGAAGAGTACATTCGGATATATATATGTATTTGCAAAAGTCTGCTAACAGACATAATGCCATCAGAAACCATGGGATTCAAACGAAGGTACAGAAACAGTAAAATAAAACACAACACAACAATGTCCATGCTTCCCTCAGAGGGCGAGATACTACCCGGTTGCCCAAGCCGAAGTAGGGTGTTGACTTAGGGGACACCACCCCGAGCCTTTGGCTGAATAGCCTGCCCGCAAGGCAGCGGAGCGAATTCAGGGAATCGCGCCCATTGGGAGCCGGTGACTGATTGCTCAGTTCATGCGCCTTTTGTTTGTTCCTTTGTCAAACAGGGGCCCAATACTCCCCAGAAGTACAGCATAAGGTTGCTGGAATACAATACTTCGCCAGGATGAAGCAAGGGGCAGTGACTTTATTTAGTGGCGAGTCACGTCCGCCACGTCACAGTGTTGTTAAACGGACATATGTGGTTTTTTATAGGGAGAACGCTTGCCCGGCGAAAACCCACCACGTGCTGGAACACTGCCGCCGAACCATTTGCTGGAACGGGAAAATCCCGAACCACCCAGCTGGCACCACGAGGAGGTTGTTCGGCAAGCCAGCCATGTGTGGGCTTTTGACGAGAATCGACATACACACTCACGCCACCTATCGTCTTAACTGATGCGAACTACTGACTGATGCCCAGTTTGCAACTTAAATATTCCGAAGCTGCTTACTCCGTCACTCCGGCTAGTACACGCAACGCAATCTTGCTGCTGCAGCCCAACTGGTAATATCTACTGCTCCCCACCCTCATACCTCCCCTTTTCACCGTACGACCACTACTCTTCAGCTGTGAAGTACGCCACCGTTTCGAAAGTTCACCTCGTTATCTCGAAATAAACCAACAGCTTCTAGTTTGATCAACTTGAAGTGTCATATTCGTTCGACTAAGTTGCGGCTGACGTCAAGCGAAGTGCGACCAAGTTCACATAATCCTTCGCTTTTATTCTCTAAGCAAGGTTTTTAAATTGACCGTTGCCTTTTTTCAATAAAACATCGTTTTGCTCTATCTGCCGTGGATTTACAAGCCTTCACCATATACGTTGGGTAATTTCTTCGGCTAAACTATTTACATGGGCAATTATGCAGTTCTCGGTCGATTTTTTTGAAGCAGAACAAAGACGCTACGCGGTTTGTTGAGTTTCGCGACCCCAGAGTCATGTAACCGTACAAAACTATCAAAAGGCGTTTTTGTAACTTAAGGAATCATCGCCCCGATTGACAAAATTTGGGCTTCGACACCGCATCGTCAACGGGATGCAAATACCAGTTATTCACTTTAGCAATGTGCACCTATTGCCTGTATATTTGGAGCTGCTTATTCGAGTGACACCTGTGCACCCAGGACTATTTTTTTAGTTATACATTTTCAATGATGCTATTTTAGCCCATCCACCGTAGCTGAAATGCACCCACATCGGGTATATAAAGCTTATATGGGCTTGATTACCACATAGTTTCTTTTGTAAACCAAATCGTTGAATCTGCTCATCTAAGGAAATGTAGTCGCGTCCCCGTATCGTTCTGGATGTTTGAAGACGTCACAGGTAAAGACGCGTCTTTTTACTCAAGTGTTTGGGTGGGTTTAAATCACAATGAACTCAAGGTTGAATTTCCGCACATAATTGACTACGATTTCTGAGGGTTTGGTCAAAGAGCATGTCTCTTCGCGAAGGCTAAATGTCTTCTTCGATTCACTACCGTCATTAGTGCGTGTCCTGGGTCTGCTGTTATACAGTTTTCTCATGAGCAGTTAAATTCCATCGGACCACAAAGCACTGGTATGTGATATGTAAACCCACTGTAACCGATATCGACAAAACATGTCATTTCACATCATTGCACTAGTGTCTTTTCGCTTGAGTCGTGTCGTAGTTTACGGATTATATCAAACAGGACAAATTCATCGTCTGATGAACCACATTGAGACGTTTTTCCATCCTTTAGTTGCGTACCCCTCATCTCACAGCACGATAACCTGTTTATATTAACCGCGCCACTTGTGTGGACCACTTTCGGTTGTAATGGCACCTGTGCACTCAAGGTTTACCTGTATGGGGCTAAGGCCTCCCAAATGTATGAGGCACTTGCGTGCTCAGCGCACTTTTCTCCAATAATCTTTGTTGCTCTTTTGCAAACGGGAGCCCTAGCGTCGTCGTGTTCCTCGATAGCAAAGGTGACTTCGATTCGGGGTATCCGTGTCCTCTGGGACAGTATTCTCAGAACGGGTGCGCCCGATAAATATTTGAATAAGAGTGCTGTACGCGCATAGTTAGGGTAGAGTGACGGTCTATGGCAAACTGTCGCCGACCTACAATATTTCCATCGGTGTGAAAAAGGATTCCCGCTGTCATCTTTGGTTTTGTATTGCGTTCCGTAATGTATCTTATTCTTTTGTATTGTGTCACACTAGCTGAAATGTGTTTATTATTATTGGGGTGTATCGCTAATGAGCGAGGTCTTACGACGTAGGGGATCGCATTGAACTCACGACGGAATTCACCTTGAGACATACTTATGAAGCATGTTACCAGACTAATTCACTGTGGTTGTTACTGGCTAAGAATGTCTTGTGACCAAGAACCTACGCTGTCTTCGTATGAATTCAGCCAGCGCCAGCGCGCCGAGTCCATAAAGGACCGTCCTTGGTTTTTTCGTTTCCCTTTGAATGTTAAGATATATCAAAGCTTACATTTGTCTCTAGCTCTTTGCCCAACAATTGCCGTTACCACCAACCGTTTCGGAGACTTAGTTTTTGGATGTGGCAGTCAAACAGATAAGTGTTTCACCACCGTCATTCGATAAAAAATAAGTGGTTATCAGGTTTATGTGGCTGGCTTTTCATTAAAAAAACACAATTCCGCATAGGTTTGTGACAGCGAGTTCTCATTTATCCACCGCATACAAACATTCGCCATGTGGACGCGTCGCTTTGTGCATGAAGCAACAGTGCTCATAACCTTCAAATAACTTGGGTTGCAAACCGACGGTGGTGCAACCTGAATGTCAGTGACTTGACCATTGGTATCAGTGTGTGTACGTCTTGCAAACTGAATGGCGAATCAGAACAGAATGAAATGGAATTCTATTGACTGCGTGTCAGTCCGCGACGAGCTCTATCGCTGATTCTACCCGCCAGTCAACAGTGACGCGGCAATCTGACTGAAAACTTCCTCAGCCCGTCCCATCTTATGCTGAAATTAACAGGTCAGAGAGTAGAATAATTGCTCTTTCTCGCCCATACATCCACTCACTGTCGGTTTGTCGAGTCCTTGTCTCGTATGAACCAGTACAGTGCCAAGCTGTTCTTGATATCAACCACTTTCTTCATAAACCTTACCATCTTTTAATATCCCAGACCGATCCAAAGACCCAAATGAGATTTCAGGGCGTTAAAAGTATTCTGAGTCCGATAGCCTGATGGAACCGGCCCTGTTTCTCCAAACATGCTAACAGACGTTTGTAGCGCCCGTCGTGGATGGATTCCGACCCAATCTCCAATCACTATGTAGTGCCGACCTTTCGTCACAAGTGTAATCCCATCAGTGACTTCAATGCAGGTTGCATAACGTTGACACTTAAATTTTTGGTTCTGACATAAACTCACCTCCCTGCTCATGTTCCGGGTGCCGTTCCTAACAGCCACTCACTCTCCACGATTGTATTCCATAGGACTCCATGCTTGGATATTAGAGGAGGCGGACAAATTCAGCCAACAACTTCGTGTCCTTCTGGTCGACAGTCGATCCGTTTCATTTTACTCCATGGCACTTGCTGCTCATCGCATCAATGCGCACGCGGACAAGGTAAGCTTTCTCGTATCATTCGACAGACACATACATCATGTGTCTCGAAGATATTTGCTTCACTCCAACTGTGATGTGTTTCATAGGGTACCCATTCTAATACAGTGTGCACTAATTTGCTATGTTGCAGCACAATGTCGGCGCTCAGCGCTGCTCAGTTTCGACTTTTCGTATTTCAGTGTATATTTTATATCCACCGTTTAGATCACAGAGTTGATTGGAGTCGATGTTCGTTCTGCACTGCATTCAAATCTCTCGGATACCTGGAGACGAGCAGCGGAAGCCCAAGCCCACGTACTGCGAGATGCTGTGGAGCATCGAGCGAAGGTATGTTCCGGTACACTGCAGTTATTTTGTTACCCGCACCCATCTATCACATTGAACTGGACCATCATTTTTCATCTCTTCTAGCAAGAACTTTGGGAGCCAATAACTTCGAAACCGACGACTGAACAAGAGAAATACTTACGCGAACTGGCCGAACTCGGACTCATCGGCCGACGTTCCGTAAGCCTAGGTACGCCTATTGTTATTATTAATTCTTCTTATTTCGCAATGCGCACACTAGCAAAACTCCGACTCAGTAGGGAGGAAAACGTCATTCGTCCTGCATCTGCGCCAGGAACATAAAATTTCGAAGTTGGGAAAACAGTCGAAAATATTATACGCTATTCAAGAAGCAACCTTCTGACACGCATGAATCCATCGCTGCAGTTGCGAGGAACGCATGTGCTTTGATTTATATACTTGTTGCCGTCGGTATATCGGTATGATGAGAGTCAGAAATTGATTCTCCCACACTGCTGTACCCTCGTATAATTCGCAATGCTTCTTGATCAGCAGTCCTTTTACATTTCGCTCTTTTGTAGGTATCCCCCTCACAACCAACACTTGCCAACTTATTCGTTCTCTATACCACTTTATCCAAAGTGGGAAAAGACTGGATTGCGACGACCTCACTGTGACGATGAACCAGTGCGTTGCCAAGATTTTGCGCGTCGAATTAGAAAATTACGAACGTGCATTACACGATCCCATGTGGAACAAAAAGGTATGTCACAGTAACTGTTTATGTACTTTGCCAGTGTGTTCTCAGCACGCGTACACATCATTGCGTACAATCAACCGCACGCTGTTCAGTGTACAAACACAAGGACCCGGTTAAACGGAACTGCACCGAACGGCTTGAATTTCGGACGGTCTTGAAACACCATCTGTATGGCCACCGTAGAGTGAAGAGTGCGTTCGTGTCCAAAGGATGCGCAGACTGAGTGTTCTTAAGTTGACGGCCATTGGTAGCGCTAATTTGATGTCTCAAACCCAACACGTTTCCTGTGATAACTCGCTGTTTGAGGAGAATCTACGACTTTAGATCTTAAGACCGCTTATCACTAGTCAGAAACACAAATTTAACTCCCAGATTCACACGCAACATATGTGAACGTATTCCGATCGCTTGAAGTATATTCCGAATCGGAATACCGCCACATTATAACAGCCGATCTCGTAACATACTGTCGGAAGTCATGGATCTGGTTACCTTGATCGTAAGCAATCTTATTGCGACGTGAAGCCTATGAAACCAACATGCATCGTTTGCAAACTCAACAAGTATTGTGCATACCACCTGCTTTCGTCAAACTGGTACCTGTTTCGTGCCCTTTTCAGCTCCCATTTATACGCATGAACTTGGAATTCCTGATCCGTCAGGCGATACCGAAGTTGGTGAAACCCTTGGGATTATTGCAGTATCCAGATATGCGCGACGTGATGACGCAGTTAGAAACGCTATTCGATCAATTCAAGCAATGAGACATTAACCCCTTCACCCCCCTGCATAACTGCCGATTAACACGAACATTTTGCTCATAAAAACTCAATTCTTTACAAAAACATGTTTTTGATAATAAAGCTGGAGTTGACGTTAGTCAGTTGTAATAATTACAGGTCTGTCGGTGTTCAATTTCACTGTGAAGTCGTTAAGACTGCAGCAATTTCCGTTAACACACGCTCTATTTTGACAGCCAATGTCTTCAGCTCAGAGCTATTTTCCAATTTTATTGGGCCCAACAGAAGCGTCAGGACCGTCTCCGTTTGTGAAAGGCAAGCGATAATAGATTCCTGCGATGGAAGCAGATAAAATAATAAATGTGAGGGAAATTGTTTCCGTTTAACGACCACACATCGACTCGGGAGTGTCAAGTTAAGCAGCCAGGATGTTGCCTGCCCGAAAACACTACATTACTACGACGCGTTTCGATATTATTACATCACATCAGGCATCAAACCCGGGACCATCGGGATATGAGTTCTGACCGCTAACCATAAGCCACCGGGTCACGATGGGCAACGCTTGGCACAACGGACGAGCAACACCCAATTTGCTTGTGCTTCATCAGCTACGGTCCTCGTGATCGAAAGACCAAGGTTTATTTCAATAGAAATCGTGGTCAACATTGAGATTGCGCGTTGCAATCCATCCACACAACGTGTACTTCAAAATGACCCTCAACATCAACCACGGTTAATTTAATCACTGAGTTGCCAAAATGCGCTCAAATACGACTTTTCGTTGGTAGATTGGCCTGTTTGCTATTAGTCGCTGAATGCTAGTTGATATCTGCGCTTCAGATGGAATGGGCCATTGTTAATCAGGTTGGCCTGAGACCAAGGTAGGAATAGGGTTTGGACGAGTTTTTCTGTGCACAAAGTTCTTGGTTATGGAGTCGAATTGGGATCGCCTCTGCTGTCGACAGTAGGCGGTATCTGACCGCTCGTGTGTGACGTTTGAGTATACAATGGATTGGTACGGATGCGTCGTGCGAATTGATTTGGTGATTGGAGTCTACTAGGTGCGACAACACTGAGAACATTACATTCCTCCTCAAACCGCTGTACAGCCAAGCTGGGCAATACCCACGAGCTCCAAGGCACAGTCACCTGGTCGTTTTCCCAATATACTTTGCTCGACACGAGCGAGAGAAATTGTACACACAGAAGGAAGCCTGCGAACAAGGTATCATATCCTGTTGAGGTGAAACTTACGCGCAGATCAGCAGCGAACTACCTTCTCGCTACTACTCTGGATAGCCTTCTGGTTGTCCGTTCCGCTATGGCGTCACTTTTAAACAGTAGTGATGACTACATTAACCGCTTCTCCGTAGAAGCTGTTTTTAGCTTTGGCACTCACCTGTTGATGGATTCGTTCAGCTGGTTGTTCTCGAATTCGCTCATGAAGACATCCGCGAGCAACGGCTCTAACGGTGAACCCATAGTCACCCCGTCTGCTTGCCGATATAGCGCTCCGTTAAACTCGTACACATCAGCACTAGTTGTCTTAAGGGGTTTGGTGGGTTACCGACGTCGATGTTGCGTAACGACAATGGAACATTGATAAAATGAGACACCACATCTAATGAGAGCACCTTTCGCCCGGCCAATTCAAGTTGCCTCACTGAGTCAAGACAATTAAAGTTGTCCTTGAGACTGTAACTGACTATGGCTTTTTTAACTGGTTCCAGCCGTTTGACGAGCCACTTGGCGGTTGATTGATACGGCAAATTACACATTTAGTATCGGCCTTAGCGGTAGCCCTTTTTTATGTACTTTGAACAGGCAATAAAGTCTTGAAATCACCGTTCCACTCGGTCTGGTGTATTCGAATATGTTAGTCAATTGTATTCTCCTGCTTTAAGCAACGGAGAAGTTTCTTTATGGACCCTTCGATTGCCTGTGTCTTGTCATTCTCATTATCTATTCTTCGAAATTTCGACCCGTCATACATCTAGCTGATGTAGTCCGATCTATCTGCGAAAACGATTCCGGCTCCTTTATCCGGTCTACATAATAGTACATTATCGTTTCGTCTGAGTACTTTAAGGGTGTCTAGATGTTCCTGCTTCAATAGATGCTTGGCGTGTGATTTGTAACTTAGGTATTCGTAACATGCGTGTGCTGAGGCTGATGACAGCGTAAGTGCAGCTACTTGGGAATAGAGATTCTCAAATTGGACCTCGAAATCTAGCTGTTTAACCTAGTTCCGTGCACAACAGAATTTCGGGCCGAATGAAAGAACCTCTAGTAAAATTAATTGCAATGAGAAGGAATTATGAACGTATCTCTTAGGGTCAGATGGAAATGATAGCTGTGGCTTACCAGCATGACGCATTCGTACCAAACTACTGTGTACTCAAAGGTCACATACGAGCAGTCAGATACCGCCTACTGTCGATAGCAGAAGCGATTGAAATTCGACTCCATAACCCAGAACTTTGTACACAGAAAAACTCGTCCAAACCCTATGCCTACCCTGCTTTCAGACCAACATGATTAACAATGGCGGTCACGCCACTCCGCCTGACGTCACATCAACCAGACCAATCACGTAGACTTATAGATTAGTTACTCTGCTTCGGTGACTCACCGTTTCATATTTATATACAGTACAAAGGATCCTATGGTTGAGGATTTCGATCGTTACCTAGACCATTTCTGATCTTTGGATGGCAACACAACAGGATGTGAAGGGCCGACTTACTCGTCCCGTGTTATTGTCAGTAGTCAGCTCGCACATCGAAGAACCGTTTGGTAAAGACGCGAGAATCGCCAGCTGGTCCCCACTTGCATTTAATGATCCTGAAGTGTCATCCAAATCTGATAAATGATGAAGCAGGGGGATAAGATTTGGGATACACTTCTCGGAATCCGAAGACAAGGTCACACTGACATCATGCGCTCTTCGGAAAGTATCGTGTTCACTTTGTTTTTCCCTCCATTCACGTAGCATGGCTACGCTAGCCATATTGCAGTTTCGGAGTACGTTGTCCCATAATCGTGAAAGTGAAGTAAGCTATGGAAAAAATGAAGCAAAGTGAAACTGATCAAGACAGGATGAGTGAACAGAGCCATCGTAGTTCAGCTGCATATAAAGTAGATCGCGCAAGTAAATACCCGGATATCACGTCTGTGTCCGTGCACATGGTATAGTATACTAGACCGCGCTCGCCCGAAAGCATGTGTGCTCCGGAGGGGGGGGGGGGGGGGAAATTAAGTGAATGGCCATTCTGTACGTACTTTACAGGATACAAAATACGGATGAGCGCAAAAGGGATTGCTGCAGGAGGAAAAGGTATGCACATACTATCCCGGACGAACGCTTCTCAGTCGAACCCGCAGTAATCCAGCTGACAAAATGTGTCCGTTGGGATATTCGCCTATTCAAACCACAGCACGTTAATAACGTTCGAACCCACGAGAAGCTTCATCTATGAGATACACATCCTTCATCTGATAGCAGGCGGACTTGCCTCTCAACTTTAAGGTATTATTTGTAATAAGGAACGATGGAGGAAATAGGCGTCACTTGTTTACGGCTACCTTTACAGTTCTGTTCAACAGAGGCGTCAAGTAAGCAACAACTAGGCTGGTGGCCGTTTTAGAAGAAGTCTGATGAACCGAGGAGAATCATGCGCATCCTCAGTGGGTTCCCTAGGCGATATGGGTCGAAAAATTAGCCAAAAGTCGATTAGATGCAAAAACATTGCAAAAACATTCTCGCATCCATGTACACCCCAGATGTCATCTTGTTCCACACAACCGAAGTTGCTCTGGACACGCGTGTTTACTTGGATCATATAGGTTCTACACCAGGTACCAATCCCCTGATTGATGGGGCACGTATAGTTTTGTAACAGCGAAGCACCAACACAAAATACGGACTTAATATGGTTGCTTGTTCTCAAGCAAACAACAAGCCCTTTCGATAGTCTACATACGATAGCGTGAGGCCCAGCATGTGCAACACACGCAATATCGAACAACGCACGTCGGTAATAGTGACAAAAATACCAGGGCATATGCCCTTACGGTCGCAGCTACGTCTTGGTGCTGACGGCAATGTGTTTTACTGTATCCTGATGACTATCAAGGGCAAAAGGCAGATGACATCAAAATCTAACACTCTCGTGGCGAGAGCTCCTGTGACGCACTAACCGTGGACAGCCGAGTTATGTCTAGCTTTTGTAATAAGTGGTCGAGAATTTGAAAGGCGACATCAGCGCACGACATAACCAAAGTAAGTGAATCAAGAAACCGCTCCGAATGGGTTGTTTGGCGGTCGGGTGTTGACGCATTCGTGCGCTAATGCATTGCATGATGCGAAGCAGACATCAAAGTATGTAGCACTGCATGTACCCATCAAGAAATGCCTGTACAGCGTCTGGGTCAGGTCTGTAGGAATCAGGTCGTCCGTGCACGGAAGGTGGGTCAGAAGCTCTTACGGCTGGTTCGATCAAAACACTAATGAGAAAAGGAGAAATGAGACACTTGTACTGGGTCCCACTTGAGGTGATGAACTCAGTGGATACCTGATAAGGCTGTGAGGTAGCGCTGAAAGAGTTATATAAAAGAATCTCTCCGACACGCCCATCGAGAATAAGCATCGCTGCAGACTAATGCGATCAAAAGAACCAGAATTAACCCAGCTCCAGCACGACTAATAGGAGGCGACTGCACGTATGACGGTGTCCGAACATCTGGAAAAGCGTATAAATGCGGTCAATGCATCTTCTACAGAGTCTGCAGCCAGTTAGACTTTCACCGATTCGATTCTCGCAAAGATTAGTGGACCGCGACAGAGACTAATTTCAGTAGTTTGAAGGAAACGTGGAAAGTAATAATCCACTAAACTTCATGATGTGTTCCGTCCTCCTTGTGGAAAGCGCGAATGACAGCTGAGGATCACTTTCCTTGTGCAACATATGATATTGCAGTGGCCCTACAAGTAGCTAGTGGGACGTTACCGCCGTTTGGTAATAATAGACGGGAACTGCCGGAATCAAAAGACCTGCTACACTTCAAAAACAATGGTTCGTGCCAAGTCTATTCGATGGTAGATTACTTCAATATTCCAGACGAATGTTGGCGTTCTAGTTAGCAAATCGGATAAGGTGGCCTGCTAAACTGTTCTTGTAGGCATTGAGCCAAACGTTCCAGCAGTTGATGTGATTGCGAGCGGATCAGCTTTTCATGGTGATCAGTTATTGTTGAAATAGAACAGTATTTTTTACATGCGTTGCTGATGCGGCAAAATGTTCCGCAGTGATCAGCTCCCCTACAGTTGCCGCATCTCCGGATCCACTGACCGGCAACCCTGGACTTACATGCGCCTCTTGTGGCTGGTGGTATCACGTAAATCGATAAAACAGCCTGCGCTAGAGACATGTATGACTGGTAGAGTTATGAGCAGCGCGTGGTTAATGATGATAACCATTCTTAGTACGACAGACATGCTCCTCAAAAAGCAATCAAACAGAAAACGTAAACATTCGTGTCACCGAACTTTTTGTTGTCAGATCAAGGGTAAAAGACGTTCACATTGCTCAGGTTTGATCACTTTTTTACTGAGCGACCCACTTCACAAAGTACTAGAAGGCAGGTCAAGTCCGGAAAAGCGAACACAGAATCTTGCGGGAGTCTCATGGAAACTTTCACACGCAACGTTGACGTATTTATAACACTTTAATGTATACTTTTCGACCACAGAAATGCTTGCCGACCGACCTCGTGATGCGGGCTGGGTGATTCAGGACCATCCTGTTCCAGCGAATGGTTCGGCGATAGTGTTCCAGGACATGGTGAGTTTTCGCTTGGCAAGCATTCTCTCTATAAAAAGCCACGTATGTCTGTTTAACAACACTGCGACGTGGTCGATGTGATTCTCCACCTGCTTCACTCTGGTGGTGCATTGTGTTCCAGCAATCCGATGATGAAATTGTGGGGAGGATTGGGCCCCTGCTTGGTAACCCGTCAAACAAAAGGCGTATAGACTGCGCAATCAATCACCGGCTCCCAATGAGTGCAATTCCCTGAATTTGCCCCCTGCTTTGCAGATGGGTTATTTAGCCAAAGGCACGGGGTCCCTAAATCAACTTCCTACTTCCGCTTGGGCAACCGAGTAGTATCACGCCCTCTGACAAAAACCATGGACTGTTCTCCAGTTTGTGCATCTGCTTCTGCTTCTTACATTCACGAGACTTTATCACACGCCACTTGTTTGATAATAATCCTTGTTATCTGTTACCCGATTCTTGCGTTCATGAATCTGTCTGCGATTCCGGTCGCACTGCAAACCATGGCTCTCTTCTGACCCGATCCTCGTTCCGTCTAGCGTGCTTCAACGTACGAACACTCATACAGATTGGACAGCAAGCCGGTCTAGTACGCACCCTAGAGTCCCTCGAGCTTGACATCTACTGCCTTTTCGATACCCAACTGATAGACCCAAGCACTGTGCTTACGCTGATATTCTCCACGAACCGTGAAGCCAGATGTCACCTGTTTCTTTCCGGAGACTCGCAAACAGCCTCAGCATGCTTGGCAGGTGTAGGTATAACGCTAAGTGACAAAGCCGAGATCGCAGTGCTAGACTGTTTCCCAATTAACAGCCGACTGTGTGGTTCGACTTCGGCGCTCATGTAAAACCAACAGACGTCGCGAAGAGAGACGCAAATTGTTTGTGACTTCCGCGTATGCTCCAAATGACTGTAGTAGTGGCTCAGCGAAGGACGACTTTTATCAGGAGTTTCATCAGCACGTGAGTAACGCCAAAAAAATCGGATCTCGTTGTCCTTGCTGGGGGTTTCGATGCACGGGATGACCGCCTGTTACCATACGAACGTCACCTTGGTGGTCACCACCTACTCGATGAGGAGCGCTCAGAAAACGGAGAGACTTCTCACATTGTGCGAAGACAACCATATTTTTCTCTCGAGCACCAACTTCAGACGTACGAAAAGCCGTTCCGCAACCTGGCGTCCCTCTTCGCCAACACATCCGTGGTTTCAAATTGATCATACTGCAATCAGCTTCAGATAACGTAACAGCGTGCGGGGCCGTAGGTCTTTTTGGTACATTTTCATTGACTCAGATCATGCACTGGTCTGCGCGAAAATCTACGTATTTTTGAGGGTCCGCAAAATGGAAGCACCGCTAAACTGGAGCAAATAGATTAAGTGATTCCTCGGTCTTCATTGACATACGCACTCAGTTGCAATCCACCGCAAGACACAGGATTTACAGAAGGCAATGACCACTTCTGGACAATTTAGCTGCGGTATAGCCCGACGGCCCTTAAAGCCTTCGATCTCTGCTCGCTCTCTGGAGCTGTTCGGGGCCGCAGATATATCCCGATATAATCCGACTGTAACGGGTGGCGCTCAAGCAAAGTATGAGCAAGGATCGCAAGGCATGTAGGTCTAAGCGCGCTTTGGAGATGGCGACCACCGCCCTCTCTGGCAACACTCCCAAGCTTTTCCAACTCGTTCGTTCCACTGACCTCAGGAAGCCTGGTATTAGTCAGGTCGTTTGTAAGGCGGATGAGTCTCCGATCAACAACCAACAGAAGCGTTTGGACCGAGCACTATCATTTGCAACTCAACGAGCCTCCATCGCACATCCGAGGACGCGGGTCAGCTTGTTGACTACCCTGGTTCGTCCCATTGTATCCACTCAGAGAAGCTGAAGTCAACCTCGATTCGATGTTTGAAACGATCCAAGGCTTCCGGCTCAGACGGACTTCCTTCGGAGCCGTTCAGGCACGGTGACATGGCAATCATTAACCAGCTGGCCACACTATCCGCAAAAACCTGGCATAATGAAAAAGTGCCTTGTTCTTGGGACGAATCAGTTATTGTCTCGAGTTTCAAGAAAGGCACTCACACTTCACGTGTAAATCATCGCGGGATTAGTCATATTTCGGTTGTCTCCCAGCTATTGACATCCATTCTGCTTCGTAGACTAACCGCAATACGTGAATCATGCTACCGTGAAGAACAAGCTGGTTTCCGTCCCGGTCGTGGATGCGTGGATCAAATTTTAACGTTCCGCCTACTCCTCAAACATCGCCACATTTACCACAGGCTCACCAGCGGCAACATAAGGGGTGCATTCGACTCGGTTGATTGACCCGCTTTATGGCGTTGCCTGCTAAAGAACGGGGTTCCAGAGAAGTATACTGTTTTCCTACGAGCACTTCACTTTCATATCTCCGGCAGAGTGAAGGTCTATGACAAGCTTTTCTCGCGCTTAACAGTCAATAGCGGTGTGTGAGAGGGCTGCCCTATGTCCCCATACCTCCTCAACTTCGGAATCCGCGTCCCGTGGAGAGCTTCAGGTTTCCAAAATGTTGGCCTAGTTTCTACCGGGTAAGCGCGCGACCGACTCAGATTATGCTGAGGATATCGCCTTACTTGGTGACGATCCACCAAGTATGCAACTCAATCTGGATCGATGGCACTTGAAGCATGACATGAGCTTCTCCCCATCGAAGTGTGAAGTTTTACTTCAGGATTGGCCGACATCCATTCCCGTGCTCATCCTTGAAGGTTCACAACTTGAAGTGGTAGACAGTTTCGTCTATCTCGGGAGCGGTGTTTCTGCTGACGGCACTCACAGCAAGGAAGTTTTGCTTCGCATCGATAAAGCCAGATCAGCACTTGTGGATCGTCGTGAAATCTCATTCTCCATAGAGGGCCACGTTTACAGTGCTTCCGTTTGTTCAGTGTTGCTGTATGAGAGCGGGTCTTGGTCAATTCGCGTGGATGACATGGGCCGCCCTTCCGCCTACGACAACAGTTGTTTGTGGAGGGATGCTCGTGTGTGGTGGCAACACAGTGGTAACGTTAGACGCCGCGTATTGGGGAATGCAGGTATTCACCCAAACAATCTGGTTTTGCTGCGCCAGTTGAGAAGACTCGGCCACGGCCTAGGCGTGGCGAATCAGCGTTTGCCGCACCGAGCGTTAATCACTCGTTCAGGACGGGGCTGAAAGCGGCCGCGTTTTTGTCAGCCTTCCACCTGGCTACAGCACACGAAAAAGTTTGCGTCACGCCTAGCTGCCGTGGCACTCGTACGTCTTTTGATTCCCATCGATTTTAATTGACTCCATGTGCATTTTCTAGACTGCTATTGACATTATATATATATATATATATATATATATACATATATGTGGGCCATGAGCTAGGCCATTCGCGACCACTACAGAAGCGACGACGGGTCCTGCAGAGAAGTACGCCGAGCCGGCGCAGCGTTTGTAGGCACGCTGAATTCGATTTACTAACCGCGTGCTTGCATGCTAAGTCTCTTTATTTCAGGTGGTGGGTTTTATGCTTTTAATGCTTTTCTTTCTCGTATAAATATCTACGCGTACTCTATTCCATTAACTTGCACACCTCGCTTAAGCCAATTGTATTAGATTTCCGTAGCATATTTGTGTTCGTGGTATTTCGTGAACTATACTTTCTGACCTCGTGCACTTATCTAGGATTTGTTTGTAAACAACTTATTACATATGCTCATTAAATTAAGGTTTATGTCACCGTTTCCTTATGCATTAATCGAGTTTTTCTCTTTTTTCTTTCTCTCTTTCTCTCTCAAGTGTTTGGCTGTTGTTTGATATCCCCGATGTGGCTGCGCTTGATGTGCATGTTGACAAAGTGCCTACTTGTATAGTACCTACTACCTCGTCCATACTGGCTCCAGGAGACAGTTGGTCGTTGCTGGAAGGGACGGGGTGCACGGTCTTTGTGGCCGTGTTAGGTTCAAAGAGTGGTTCTATGCACTCAGTTTGGAGCGCACTACGGTCCAGCCACCGTCTTGAGTGCGTTTGATTCCCAAATACAGCGTGCTTGTGTTTGTCTGTGAAGGAATGTAGGCCGGCTCCGTTGATGACACGTGGCTCCCATTCACATACCTCCCGGTCTTATTCCTTCGGGTTGACACTGGATATGGGGTGTGTGGATGGAGCTGTGGGTGGTGCAGCACAAGCAATCCCATGGTCCCTCTGTAGGCGCAGGCGTCCGGTGGCTCGGCACATTGACAGGCAAATCCGAAACCGGATGCCGCCAACCACACATATATATATATATATATATATATATATATATATATGAGATTACGGTCAAACTTATGTGATTCATTGTGTATTCGTAACTTGTCAATTAGAGGCGGCATGGTCTGAGACGGATAGTATTAAATCAGTGGGCAACAGTCCTCTCAACATCAGAGAAAGCCAGATTCACGCAGACGGAGTGTGCCCACAATATGTGGACTGCAGCAGTCCCGAACGACTGTATTTTGTGATGAGGTGAACGTTAGTTTGAACCGTAAACTGAACGATACGAAATGTGCTAGTACCCGACGGTTTCCGTTTTGGGTCCTTGAGCCCTTCTCGTATACTTACCGATCGTTATCAGTGCTCCGTCAATACGGAACCAGGTTGTGTATAACTACTGTGGTGAGAGTAAGAAATTGCAAGAAATCGATAAAAACCAAGCCGAGTCGAAACCACATAGGTAGGTACAAACTCTAGGTCACATACTGCAGCAGACGGGATAATGATGCCCATGGACTCACATTACAATTTCTGGGTGTCATACATTCTAACCAACGCATTCACTGTTTAAACGGGACATTCTAGTTCTATTTCAATGGTGTTGTGATATTGAAACAAATACTGGTAGCCCAGATTGTTCAATTAGTGCTCGGACTGTGCGCTGAGCTCGGCAGTTTTACCGAGCTCAGCGCACACTCCGGCCACCAGCTAAGCACGTGTTGTCTAGCACGGGATACATCGATACTACAACATTGCATGTGAGAAAACCGCAGAGCACATAGAACAAAGGGGGACTCATCAAACTTTATGACATACATGTCTTATGACCAAGTTAAAATGTTTACCTGTGGTGAGAGAATAGCGCTCCGAACAAAATTCAGGGTATGGTGATCGCGTAAAATGGATCGCAAGCATTGGGCGACGTCCAACCAAAATATCACGACCAAGGTACGTGCTTCTAGCGTTTCGGTGAACAAGACCGTGGCGATGATGAAAAGGTGGTAGTATCGATCGCTATAAAGTGGGAAGAAACATATTTGCAGAATGTTTGAAGGCAATTGGAAGTACAAATGTCGATTGGATGGCATTGATGAGTAGGAACGAGGTCGATATTCGAAGGGAAATGATCTCCCATTTGCGCGAACCTGCTATGCAGCAAAATCAACCAGGTTGGTGAGCAACGCATTGTAAGAATTTGTTGGGAAGAGAGTACGGGCTAAAAGAGGATAAAGGTAACGTTTTTCTTGAAGACGGAAGGTAAGTTCGGAGGCTTCGCATTACTTATTAACAAGCGGCCATCAGCTGCTGAATTCTAGATGGCCTAAAGGCAGACAATTACCATGAAGTGGTGCTCGCCTAGAGCGAACTAAGGCTCGACGCAGCAGCTACCCATCCCAATGAACCTGCCAAGTATAACACCGTCCTCAGACGAATAGGGGAATACCAATTGGCTGGTATGTTCATGGGATAGGTTACTAGCTACAACCTTGACTGAACAAAGGTGAAAGCAGGCTAGCAGCATGTACCAACGATTCTCGCAATTTTTTCAGTCGGCAGTCTATCAAATAAACACAGAGCCAAATATAACTATGGAAAGCACTAAAAGAAGACAGGTTGTACACCATATCAGTATAATGTCACATTAACTGAAGGCGAGCAACACACTTCAGCTATTGTGCCGCAATATAAAAACAACGGAACCTTTTTCGTTATTTTGCGCACGTCAATATTTTAGTTTTTTGTCGTTTTTAATTTTTAAGCATTAAGTACCTAAATCTAAGTGGTTGTATACACAGATCCTCCGCTGGTTTCGATTAAGAGCCATATCCTGAATTGTTTCCAGACATCGGCACTCCTCGTCCTTTGGTCCCCAATCAGGCAGACGTGTGGATCCAATGGTGGCAAGACGTGAAGTCAACGATTTCATTTGCTGTCGCCAGGTGGATGGTGGACCACCACGTGGTCTCTTCCAGTTGAGTCCTGCACGAGCAAACAGAGCGCGATAGGGCAAACACTCAGCTGACATACGCAGGACATGGCCGAGCCATCTTAACTGGCGCAGCAAAACCAGATTGTTGAAGGGAATACTCGCATTTTCTAAGACACGACATTTGCCTTCACTGTCGCAAATGTGTTGTTGTCACCACGCAAGAGCAATCCTCCTCATGCACCCGTCGTCGAGGCCCGAGAGCCGGCGTATATCATCTACGCGAATTGGCCATGACTGGCTTCCATATAGCAACACTGCCTGAACCTTGGCATTGTAAACACGAGCCTTTACCAAGATGTTGACAGCGGTCACGATAACGTTTACTTTCGGTTGTAATCTCGAGCCGTTCCACATTTTGAGACAACGTGCTTCAGTACATTTTACTCTCGCACAATGTCTCTCGGGCAGTATGTTGACGGTGGCTCCCAAACCGAGCTGAAAGCGAACTGGACGTCTTTAAATTAACAGTGTAGCAAAAATGCGCTTCTGCCCTCGAAAATGCTCCATGTTGTTTATTGAGAGCTCCTGTGTCTTGTTGACTTTCCTTGTCTACCGCACCGATGTTCGCCGATCTGAAACAACGAGCGAAATGGTTTTTCTTTGTACACTTCATACAGGTCTTGCCTAAGCTGTACAACTCTCCTTTCGTTTTGGTTGCTTCCAACCACAAAAATGAGCTGGCCTTCTGCCCCTAGGATGGCAGAAATAGGGCTTCCTTGGTCTTCGATACTGTACAAAGTCCCTCTGTCGTGCTCGCCCGCAAATTCTGAAGCTGTCGTGATGTATTCGTTTCGCTAAGGCACGTATTCATACACTGATTTAGGGACAGGTTCTTCTGCCTCCGAAGACGTCTAGTGAGGTCATTATTTCCGATGCCGATAACGATGCGGTCGCGTACCAGAGTCCCCCACACAGTTACAGAAGTTGCACGTTCGCGCCAAAACTTTCAATCCTGTAATGTAGGCGAATGCGACCAAAAAACAGATATCTTTGGTACGTTTCATTTGCTCGACCTTCGCAATATTCGCCAAATCTCTTGATTATCTCCGAGATGTCCGGCTCCTGCTCCTCCGCATCACTGAGATCCAAAGTCTCAAGTACTCGTCTGGCTTCGTCGCCAATAGCGTGTCTGAACATAGCAAGCTGGTAAGGCATCGGATAGGAATCCAACTGAGTCAGCGTGACGAAATCCGTACACTTCGCCTTCCACATTCTCCAGTTGTCAGTCAGCGTGCTTTCCGTCATCTGTAGAGAAGTCGGCAGCGGGATCGACGGCTTTCCACCAAAAGCAAGCGGGGTCCGGCGCGTCAGCTTCTTTTCCTCTGTCACCATGTTGCGTGCCTGGTTCTCCCAACCGCGTCAAGAGAAAGAACTCACACCGGCTCTGCACACCAGCGTTCTATTCCCAATTATGATGTGAGGTACAATTAGCTGGGTGTTTAAAACCCACTCATCCACTCCATCGATCGCCTGATCAACCGCACTGAGGCAGGCGATTACCTTCGCCCCAGCTTTCAGTCACCATCACAGGAGATATCCCGACAACGCCACAAGTGCTGCAGGTTGATAAACGTCGATCGAGTTTTGGCGACGGGAAGAGAACTTTCCCTTCTAATGGTATGACCAGCAGATACACAGCTACCAAGGTAAACAAAGTTATCCACTTGTTCAAGCTGTATACCTTCAATATTGAGCAAGGGAACAATTGAGTGCCAATCCTGAAGCAGCACTTCACATTTATACTGGGCAAAGCACATTCCATACTTAGATGCCTCAATCACCAAACGGTCTAGAATGGTTTGCATGCTCGGTGAGTCCTAACTAAGTAAAGCGATATCATCGGCATGATCTAAGTCGGTTGCTCGCATGCGTGGTAATAGCTGTATACCAAAATTTTGGCAATCGTCTAGACCTTTCGATAGGATGTCTTCAATCGCAAAATTAAACAGTAACGGGGACATACGGCAGCCTTGTCGCACAACGCTACTGATAGCGAAGGACGACGAAAGCCTGCCATACACACTCACTCTGCCAGAGATGTGGAAATACAGTGCGCGTATGATGGCAGTGTACTTTTCTGGGACCCGTTTATTAGCGAGCAACGCCACACAACAGGTCGATCAACCGAATCGAATGTAGGACGAATGTCCAGGTATACAACGATGGTAGACTGGTAGTGGCGGTGTTCCAGGATTTGGCGGAGTGTGAATATCTGATCCACACATCTGCGACCAAGTCGGAAGCCAGCTTATTCTTCCCGATACTGCGATTCGCGAATGGTAGATAGTCTACGGAGTAGAATGGATGCCAATAGCTTGGATGCAACCGAAATGGGACTAATTCACCGGTGATTGGAACAAGAAGTGCGAGCACCCTACTTAAAAGCTGCGACAATAACCGACTCAACCCAGGAAGAAGGCATCTTTTCTTCATTCCAGATTTTCGAGAACAATGGGGTTAACTTGCTAATGACAACTGAGCTTCCATTTTTGAACAGCACCGGAGAAAGTCCGTCAGAGCCGGCAGCCTTGAATTGTCTTAGATGTCGAATCGCAAGACAAACTTCCGCTTCGCTGGGTGGATCAGGTGTGACGACTCAGGGCGAGCAGCTGGGTTTGCAGGACGGTGAGGGCCAACTGAACTGGGAATGAAAATGTTCGGCCCATCGATCCAAGCGTCTCTGTAAATTGGCAATCGGCGAACCATCCGCTTCGCATATAGTCTCACTGACACTAGGCTTTCTGTGGCCAGTGAATCAAATGAGTTGGAAGAGCTTAGGGGTATTGCCAGACAGGGCAGCGGCCTCCATTTCCGAAGCATGCTGGGACCACCAGGCTTCACGGTCACCGCGTAGGCTTCGTCTGAGCTGCCGACTGACAGAATGGCGCACTTCATTATGGTTGGACTCCGCTGGGATATTCATGTGGTGGTCAAATAAATTCAGAGCACGTGGAGATCCAGACCTTTGTAGGGTGCTAAGTAAGAACACAGACTTGCTGTCCGGAAGTGATCCTGGTCCTCTGCATGCACGTCCAGTGTTCATCAATATCTCGCGGTGGGTCGCAGCCGAGTGCACAAGCCAGGAAAGATTGATAATTGCTGAACCGAACAAGTAGATAGTTTATTTATGTTTATCTGATAGCGCTTCATTTTCGGGGACACTCCGAAACTCATGCAGATGTTCTCACAAATAAGAACATGATCTGAGTCAAGAAAAGTGGGCCAGATGGATCTGCAAACCTTTACACTACCCGTCCATCTGAAACTGATTGCGATATGATCAATCCGAGACCATGATTGAGACGCAGAAGAGGGTCGCCAAGTAGCGGAACGTCTCCTCGAATGCCGAAAGTTGGTGTTCGAGAGAAAAAGATGATTATCTTCGCACAGTGTGAGAAGTCTATCTTTATTATCTGAGTGGCTCTCATCGAGCACATGGTGACCGTCGAGGTGACTTTCGCATATCAACAGACGACCGACCCGTGCGTTGAGATCGCCAGCAAGGACAACAATGTCGGATTTGCAGGCTCTGTTCAAGAGCTGAAGGTCACGGTATAAATTGTCTTTGATGGAGTCGAAACTGCAGTCAGTTGGAGCGTAAGCTGAGATCACAAACAAATTACGTCTCTCCTCCCGACATCGGTTTATCTTGCATGATCCCCGAAGCCGAAATGCACACAGTCGGTTATTAATCGGGAACCAGTCCAGCAGTGCTGCCTCGGCTTTGCTACTTAGCGCTACACCAACGACAGCCAAGCCTGTCGCAGCTGTTTCTGTGTCATCAGATAGACGTAGGTGAAATATGGCTCCGTGGTTGGTGGTAGATCTCAACTCGATCACAGTACCGGGATCTTATAAGCGCGTTTCAGAAAGACAGCAAACATCGATAGCGAGGGATTCCAGGGTGCGTGCAAGAGCAGCTTACTGCCCGACCTGCATGAGTGTACGTACATTGAAGCATGCCAGACGTAATAGGTTCAGCTTAGCCACTGAAACGAATGTCTAATCCCGCATGAATTCATAT